GTCTCAAGCAAAATCGACCGGACCGCTCTTACAGAGACACTCTCTTAAAAGTTGTGATTTATGTACAATCACACCATTCCTTTCACACACACCCCCACACAGAAAAACAAACTATGCGTTCTCAAAATCACAATCGCTTCCTGAGGAGCTGTCATCATCACTTTCTTCTCCTTCTCTTTCTTCCGCTCTGCTTTCGTCAGTGGTCTCTTCATCCTCAAGTTCTCTGTTGAACCAAAAAAAATGTTAGTTAAACAATGTAACAACCTTGTATAGAGGAAACAAGAATGTTACGAAATTTTTCATAGCATGCAATATATAGAGACAGAGAATTTTACATCGGTTTACATAGTTTATACATTCTTCTGTGCTTCACTTTCATAGTTGGTAAACTAAAAGTAAAAGCGAGAGCATCCAATAAGGAGTGTAAAGGCTAAGCAGTATTCTTACATTTCCGTTTGTTCCTGCTCTCTCCTTTGCATGATTTCCCTCCATTCATCGGACAGCGCCCATTTAGGAGAACCTGTGGGTGGCTCTCTTTCTACAGGCTCCCCTTTACGAGCCTTTGTTCGTTTCCACCTTTTGTTTGTTGCGTTTGCTGTCTTTTCGCTGCGCTTGTCAAGACAATAACAATATTATAATTAGAAGATGCCGTTGACTTGACTGAAACCGTGCAGTAAATCCAACCTTTAAAAAAAAACCGGGCAAAAAAGCGCTAATAGGTGACTAACAAATAAACTGACTTTAAAGCCTACCTGACATTTACAGTCCATCATTGCCTATAACAAGGAACAGTCTGGCAATACTGGACAATTTTTAAGGATAGAAACGTTTCCATCTTCCTTGCTATTAGAAATATCAGTAAAGGACTAAGCCTTTAGTATGCTTCTTACTTGTTCAGGAAAGCTTCAAGAGTTTTGCTCCTGTATTTTGGGGGCCTAGACACCCATCCTCCTTCGCCTTCATCAGTATCTGTGTCATCATCGTCACTAGACATGTGCTCTTTACTTAACTTTGCGAAGGCACGGGACTCAGTCTCATCCTTGACATGAGCTTTTCTTCTCTCATATTTCTATGAGATAAAGAAAAATTTGCTTTTTAGTACTTTTCAACTAACTTTCATTGCATCATTCAAAATGTATAATTTAAGTTATTTTAATGCATATTAACTGTATACTTACTCGTTCTTTTCGAAGATTTTTCTTATTTTTCAATTTTATTTCATCCGCTATTTTTCCAAGGGCAGTCCTCCGTAAGTGCTTATGATACTTTTTGGCAGTTCCTGAACAAAACAAAAAAGGCTTTAATTTCAAAATTGCGTGATTGGGGCCTGATTATCTGTTATGGACAATAAATCTTGGTTGCAGTGGTGTCCTCTAGTTTTAAA